ACGGCGCGCGCGCGCGTGGCGCAGCTCGAGGAGCACATCGCCTCGCTTCCGACCGTCACCGCGCCCGAGCTCGCCGACGCCTCGGCGCAGGCCACGCTTTGGACCACTCAAGATGGGCGGATCGCCGAGCTCGAACTTGCGCTGCAAGCGGCGCACACCCGGACAGCCGAGCTGGAAGCCCAGTCGGACGAGCTCCTTTCGCTGCGCACCGCTTTGCGCAAAGCGACGGAGAGTCGCGCCTCGCTGGCGCTCGAGCTCGATGCGGTGCAGCTGGCGCTTGCCGAGCAGCGCGAGTCGGCGTCTGCAGATGCTGAACGTCTCGAGCAGCTCGAAGCGCAGCTCGCCACGCACGATGCCGACCGCATCCAACTCGCCACACTTTCCGAACGCATCGCGCTCCTCGAGGAGGAGCTCTCGGCCTCGCACGCTGCACGCGACTCTGCACTGGATCTGCACCACACCACAGCGTCGGAGCTGGCCGCACTCGTCGCAAAGCACACCGAGCTCGAGGCGGTACTGGCCGCACGCGATGCGGCGATGCACGCGCGCAACGCCGAGTACTGGACGCTCAAAGAAGAGCTCGCCGAGCTGCAGGAAGAAGCCGAACGCTCGCGCCCCGAAATCATCACCCCCGCCGCGCTCTCCACTCTCCGCTCTGAGCTCGATACTGCGCTGCAGCGCGTGGCGGCGCAGGAAGAGGTGCTGCTGCGCTTCAAGTCGGACCTCGCCGCGGCGCGGTCCACGGAAGAGCTGCTCAACGCACAGTATGCCGCTGCCCAACGTCGGGCTGCTGAGCTCGAAGGCGCTGCGGATGCAAGGCCCGATGCAGAGCTGCAGGAGAGGCTGGACAAGGCCGAGGAGGAGACGAGCTACCTGCGCACGCGCATCGACGAGCTCGAGCAGGAATTGGGCCGCAAGGCCGACGAGATCGAGGAGGCCGATTCCAAGATCCTCGACGCACTCAAGGAGACCAAAAAGTACGCCACGCGCTATACCAAGTTGAGCGCACGCCTCGACGATGCCAAGCAGCAGCTCGTCGCTGCACACGCTCAGACCAAGCACGCCGAAGAGGAGCTGGCCAGGTGGAAAACACGCGCCGACGAGAGCGCCGTCACTCGCGCGTCGGCGGCAGTCACTCCCTCGGCATCCAAGCCAGTTGGGGTGAAGCGCAAGGTGGATGAGGCCGAGGCGGTGGCGGTGGAGGAGGTTCGTGCCGTGTATGCTCCCTCGCCCTCAGCACGGCCCACATCCTTCACACCTGTTCGCCGCACCAAGAACGCCGTGCTGGGGCTGGGGACGCCCTCCACCGCACCGGACGGCATGGTGCGTTCGTCATCCAACCCGTCCGAACTCGTCGCCGCGCGTCTTTCGCCGACCAAACCCGCTCTCGGCGACCGCACCAACCTCGCTCCCGCTGCTGCACGAACGAGTCGACTGGCCAAGACCACGCTGGTGCCTGCACACCCGGATCCTGTTGCCAAAGCAGCTCCTGCTGGCGCGGCCGACTTTCTCGCGCGCATGAAGGCGCAATCCCGCACGCGCTGAAGCCCACTGCCTCTATCAAATGTCATTGCTTCGAGCGTCAGTAGTAGGCACCATGACCTGCATATGTGTCGGTAGGTTTGGTGGTGAGACCGACAAGATTGGCGCGCGCCGGGTGGTCGGCATCGAGCGCATGCAGCGCTTCGCTATCGAATCCCCGGCCGGTGTAACCTTGGCTTCCTGGGCCGAAGCGCGGCGTGGGCAGGTTGAACTTTTTGCTCGCCAGCGCAGCGCGGCCTGCGGGCACCTTGTTCTGCACCTCGCCCACCGGTGGTACTGGTTGGAACGCCACCGTATCGTTGAGTTGACGATAGGCCCGCAACCAGTGCTCCACTGTCGCCGCCTCCACGCCCACCCTCTCCTGACCCTTGCGCTTCAGCAAGCCAGAAGACGGCGTGAGAAGCGACGAGGAAAGCGTCAGCAGCGCGATCGCTTCGCCGACGCGGTTCGAGTTTTCGCCCGCATCGATGCCGAGCCACTTGTACGCCAGCGCACGGTGCAGCGTCAGACTCGACCTCACATGCGCCAGCAGCGACGAGGAAACATCCAAATCTCCCCCGACCCCCGTCGTCGCCGAGGGCACATCATCTTTCGCCTTGTCTTTGCCCAGACGCAGCTTGCCAAACATCTTCTTCTTGTCCGCACCAGGCACGAGGTCTTCGTTGGTCGCCGACACGCGTCGCGCCAGTTCATGCTCGTGGTTCGCACTGAGTCCCTCCGCATCCCTCCTACCCGACCTGTTGCCGCCACGATCCTTGAGCGTCTTGAGCAATCCCAGTGCACTCTCCAACTCCTCGACCACGTGCAGATGCAGCTTGGCAAGCAGGCTTACACTCGGGTGCGACTTTGGCAATGGCGGTCCCGGCGTGACCGTATCCACCGCACTCGCCACGCTGGGCGAGACGAGCTTGCGGATCGCCAGTGCCTGCGCTTCGGCCATACAAATCTTGCTCAGCGCCAGCGTTGCTTCCCCCGTCAGGTCCGGTGGGACATCCATAGCCCCCGCCGCATCGCGCCATTGCGGCAGCAGCTCCTCGGACACATACACCAACACCCCACTCGCGCGGCACAGTGTATCTGCCCCCCACCGCAGCCGCTCATCCTTCACGCGACGCTCGTCCGCGCTGAGACTGCGGTCGCGCTCGAAGGCTCCCAGACCATGCACCGTCGCTGCCGCAAAGTTCGCCAGAGCCAGCGCATAGGTGACCAGCACCCAGGCGAGCTCATAGTGCAGTCCGGGCAGCTCGACGCGTTGCGGCCCGCGGAAGCGCGTCGACGAGATGCTCGTGCGCCACGAAAACACCGGCTCGTACCGCAGCAGCAAATCGTCCGTCTGCACGCAGTTGAACACCCCCACCACCGACGGCAGGTACTCTTCCAGCGCCGTCACGATGCGCATCCAGTCGGACGCCGGGATGGCTTCAGCATCTGTGCCGCTGCGAAGGTCGTCTTTGCTGCTGGATGTGGATCGAGTGGTGGAGGCGCCCGCGCGGTGCTCCTTGAGAACGGCACGTACGCGCGCACGCAGCTGCGTCGCCTCGCCAACTTGCGAGACCAGCTGCGCACTCGACACAAAGTCGCCAAACGAGATCGTCCCCGTCGTCGCCAGCTCGAACAGGTACATCGCCGAGCACCAGTGCCGCTGTCCGAGGCGATCCGAGTTATTGTGGCGGCAATTGGGCGTGGTGACGCGGGATGGAAACTTGCAGCCGAGCCTGCGTAGCTACTCGGAGAGCCGAGAGGGTGCACTGCGCGAGTTGCCGTGCGAAGAGTCACTCCAGCTGGACGGCTCCAAAAACGGGGGGGGGGGGGGGG